CTACTACTACTACTACTACTTGCACAACCACGCCTCCTCCTCTGCCTTCTGCTGCTGCTGCCGCTGTGGCTGCTATGTGAACCAATGCTGCTAGTGTTGATGCCGTTGTTCTGCAATTATTGCCATGGCCAGTTATTGAACCAGTATCTTGAGCCTCATCATCGTTAAAATCTTGATTGTTCTATGTAGTACCCTCAACGTCGTCTTATAAAGCATGGCGAGATATCGCAGCGTGCAAGCCATAGCCTTCTCTCTGATCGCACGAGTTGCTGGGAGTCGCTTGAAGCTGGGCATTCTAGTCCTAGCTTGCGGATGCTGCACGGGCATCTATGTCTTGACGAGGGCGGACCGCCCTCCGCCAAAGATCAACTTCGTGCACCCATGTGTTGCGGCGATCAGGCGCAATGTCACACACCAGCCAAGCTCGGAGTATTTGTCCAGTCAGCTGGAAGAATCTTGGCTACAGAGCTCCATAGACGGCAGCGCGATCTGCAACATGTCCTTGCGACAGCAGCAACAAGCAAGGATATGGACAGGCTATTCAAAGTCTGTGTTCCGTCCTGATGGTCAGCCAGCCAGGGAGCCAACACCTGAGGAAGCCTCTGTGCTCTCCTCATTCTCCCGGTCTGTTGACGGGGTGTCGCTTCAGAGTTACATCGAGCCTCTTCATGGGATGGCTCGGCACCCGATGTCGGAAAGCTGTAGAGCAACAGACCCTTCTTTCACAGCTGACACTTTTGACATCACCTACATCGTCACTGAGAATGCCTGCGGCAGATCTGAGCCGAAACCCATCGTCAAGTATTATGACCTGGGCTGTACGGACAATGGGAACTCTCTCAACGCCTTTGATGGCTTGAAGTATGACTTTGGTGTGGGGCTGGGGCCCTCCATTCCGCTCTTCTTTCAGATGTACAAGGATCGCTGCCTTGAGTTCGATGAGATCTTCGCCTGGGAAGTCACGCCCATGAACGTAACCCATTGGTGGCAGCCTATTCCAGACCACATTCGCCACAGAGTGCACTTCTACAACATACCGGTCGCTGAGAATCCGTGCCCACAGGCCTTACGTGGACCGCTGCCCGAGAAAGGGAGTTTCCTTCGGCTTCTCCAGGAATCTGCAGAGCCAAGTGACTTCGTCGTCGTAAAGGTGGACATCGATCATGGTCCAGAGCTGGAAATTGTCGAGGCACTGGCAGAACGGCCCGAGCTGGCTCAGCTGGTGGACGAGATCTTCTTTGAATATCACTTCGATTTCCCAGAGCTTTATCCAGGTTGGGGATACCCACCATGGAATCACCGAACTGTGAACACAGCCCTGGACTTGTTGCAACGCTTGAGACTCGCTGGAATCCGGTCCCACTTCTGGATATGACTTGGGAGGCACGGATCTTGGAAGATCCAGTCTGGGAAGTGCCTTCCTCCCGTGCGGTCTTTGCAGGTAAGTGCACTCGGTGAACGGCATAAAACGGCAGTGCGTGCAACGGTGTGCCGCGATGCAAACGACTTCGACCGTGCAATCGGGCTCATCTGATCTAGTCCCACTTGAGGCACGGGGGTTCACAATTCCGGGCGCTTCTGGTGATGCTGATGGCAGCGATGATGCCATGGCCATGCCAACGCCTGCTCGAAACCACAACCATACTGAAACGCCGTACCAACATTCGTACGAGACTCGATTCGTTGAGCCAGGAGCCAGGTGTGTCCGACCTGGATCTGGCGTTGTTGCTTCTGGGCCCACTTTTGAGGATTTTGCGTGGGCTTGGGGGATCCGCATGGTCCAGGGCCTAACGTCCGCAGCCACAAGAGGACCTGCTGCTGCCACTGCCTCGAGGGTTTGGAAGGCGTGCCATTTGTGGTTTCGGTTGTTAGGGCTCGGGCGGCTGGTTGGATGCTTTTGCAAGGTTTGCTCTTTTGCTAGTGCTTGCGACGAGCAGCTTTTCAGCAGGTGCTAGGTCTCCCGATTCTCTGACTCGGAAAAACGGCATGAACCGAATGCCAGATTGAAAGCCCTTCTCCGAAACTCCTGCTAGATTGTGAGCTTCCTACCGACCCGGATCAAACAGCACTTCGGAACACACGCTGCAAACCCCCTGAGCCCCTACAGTTTCGTTTCCAGTCTGCACCGGAGCCCGGGATAAGAAGGCTTGGCGGGCTGTGCCTGGCCGAAGCTGCAAGCGGATGCTGGGCTGAGGCGCTCTCGCGCGGGCCTTGGGGTGCGCTTCTTCTGTGCGATGTCGACGAAGACGATGACGATGTCATTTACAGAATCTCGTTGCTGATCATGGCGATGATCATGGCGATGATCATGGCGATGATGATGATGATGATGATGATGGTGGCGATGATGACGATGGTGACAATGATGATGATGATGATGACGATGACAATGAGGATGATGATGATGATGATGGTAATGATGATGATGATGACAAAGGTGATGATGACGATGATGATGATGACAATGGTGATGATGATGACGATGACGATGATGATGACAATGATGACGATGATGGCGATGACGATGATGATGATGATGATTATCATTATGACGATGATGGTGCTGGGAAGGGTGATTCGTGTGACGAGGATGTGGAGGATGGAGCAGTTGCGTGTTTCTGCTGCGGCTTCCTGCAGCTGCTGATGTTCATGGTCTTGATGTAGCAGCTGTTGAAGATGGAGATGGTTACACATCACAACGAAGTACTGCATTAACAGAATAGAAGCCGCTTTCATCATCATCATCATCATCATCATCACCATCATCATCATCATCACCATCATTACCATCGTCACTGTCATCACCATCGCCATCGTTACCGTCGTCGTCATCCTCGTCATCACCATCGAAATCACCACGATGGTAAGATGCGCTGCGTAGTCCAGGACAGGATAGCTGCGGGAGCCTAAGTGCGGATACGGAAGCATTGTAGGGGCACAACTAATTACCAATACTATTTTGGGGGCTCCTTATTAAAATTATAGTATAATAGGCCCCAACAGCCCTATTCTAATTATTCAGGCCCCTATATTATGTGTGCACTGGCAGATCTAGAGCTTGAGCTCTACGACGTGAGGCTCGGTGCTTTGGGCTGTTCGGGCCGTGAGGTCTAGAGTTTCATTTTTGGGGCCCCTAAGAGGATCCAGGGTTCGGCATGTCGGGGCTTTCAACATGCAAGCTTGGAGCTAGGGTCTGGAGTGAAGGATTCAAGATTTTAGGGCTTCGGTTTTGGTGAGGGCTAGAAAGTCGCCAGTTTCAGGTGTTGATCTTTTGCACAGTTCGTGATTCAGTGTGCGCTCGGGGTGCTGTGTTGGCACCCCCACTCCTGCATCGCAAACTTGGCCGAAGAACAGCTACAGAGGTTATGTTGCAAGAATTTCGGGGCCATTGCGGATGAGATTCTGAAGGCCGGGTCTTCACAGCAAGTGTCGCCTGACAGCGTCCTTGAACCTCGCAAGTTAGGTTTGGGTTTCTTGTAGTTTGTGGGCAGGATGGGCTCCTGCATGGCTGGTCGGAGGAGTCCAACACCCTCATGTCCGGTGACTGGGCTCTCGTTAAGCAACAACCTGGAGCCCCTTATCACTATGCTAGCTTTGGTACGGTTCCTTGATTTGAGTTCCTTGAACAAGAATCCAGGTGATACCATCCAGTTCACCGGAGCACAACACGCCCAGTTGACAGGACTCGTCATGGGCCCATCCGTGCCGTGGCAGTGAAGTTACGGTGAGCCACGAGCATTGATGCGCCCATGCCATGTCTCACCATGTGGCTACAGCATCGTTTGCCGATAATCTGCAACTGACCACAGTTCAGCATTTTGGTGCATCTCAGGCAGAATTCGGATCCTGGCAAGTTCGAGTGACAGGCCTCCTCGGGCTAGCAGAGCACAAAGCTCGTAGGACTTGGGGCAAGGTGGTATCCCAAAAGCCCCGGCCACGATGGCACAATATACCTTATCAGCCAGGTGCATCCTGAAGAGACCTCAGCCTCACAAATTTAATTTCCGGCTGCCACGCGGACTCTGGCATTTTTTGCACTACCACATAGCCCACGTAGCAAACGGGTGGTAAGAGGGCAACGCCCCAAAAAATCCTGTCAACACGCCACCCAAAATCCTATCAAGACACCTTGTGAAACCCTTGCAACACCGCTCACAAAGCCGTGTAAATCACCTTATGAAGCCGTACCAAGGCCTCATAAAGCCCTTAGACATCCTTGCAAACCCTGATGAGCCACCCTGTAACATCCTTTCAAAACCCCAAACAAAGCACAACACCACCTTTGAAAGCATTGTGAAATCTCAAAAAAAGCCTTACACCCTTCAAAACCCCTCACAACGCGAAACAACACTTCAGATGTAACGTACTACCCAATACGGCCACAGTACAGCAGTGATACTATAGTGTAATATAATAAGACTACAGGTCCATCATAGTATGTATTATCATAATACTATAATGTACAAAATTTTTCTCTTCATTCCATCACAACCTTTACTCACAGAATGCTATACTTATCAAAATCCCTAATGTGCCACAACAATACCATTACAGAGCATACTATTACAATCAATCCAAAAACCCGGAAAAACAAAAACAACCAAACGTATCAGACCCTAAACCCTAAACCCTAAACCCTAAATCCCTAAACCCTAAACCCTAAACCCTAAACCCCAAACGTATCAACACCCCCTCGCCTCTACCAGGGGCCGCCAGTGAGGCCTCCGCAGCCCTGGGGCCTGGCGAAGCAGCGGCTTCAGTGCCGCAGGCGGAGGGCTTTAAAGGCCTAAGGTTTAGGGTTTAGGGTTTAGGGTTTAGGATTTAGGGATCCTTTAAGATCCTTAAGGGTTCCTGTAAAGGGTCCCAAGGGCTCCTTTGGGTCGTTTCATGCTTTCAGGATTCCTTGCAGGGCTTCGTGAGTTTTTTGGGAAGGTTTTATATAGGGGCCTGAAAATGATTAGAACTGGGTTGGAAGGGTACTTGTTGCAGTGTAGTTGTACTAAGGACTGTAAGGGACATCAGTCGCATCATGTCTTGAGGTTCTCCACTATCATGATAGAAAATACACCGCAGAACTTTGTTCTAGTTATCGAGCCTTGATTGTGCGGATGGTGCTTTGAGGGTTCAGGGTTCAAGGCGGGGCTTTGGGGGTTCATGGTTTGGGATGGGGCTTGAAGGGTGAAAACGCGACGGCCTTTGCTGGGAGGTATTCCGGGGCCTGAGGGTTTAGGACGGTATACAGATGTCGTTGTGCACTCTGCCAGTGTTTGAGGTGTTATTCGCAAGATGGATGTTGGGGCGATTGATATTTCTGGGAGTCTCTAGGGCTGCTTCGCAAAAGCTCTGTAAGGGTATGTAGAGGCTGAAAGGTATCCCGGGAAGGTTCAGGTATTAGGGTGGGTGTTCGATTGTCAGGCAACCGTGGGCGAGCAAGCCTCGTAGATGGCAAGAAGGTTTGGCAGCTGCGTGGTGCTGCTTGCAGCTTTCGGGGCTGCATCGGCATCGCCACAGCAGGCAGCATAATCGGCGAGGTCAAGGTGGTAGACTGCGTAAAAGTCGTCCTGCGGTCAAGGACTGGCAGGCTGGTGGGGTGCCGGGCGGCGAGGCAATGTTCCCGCCGCTGCCCGAAAAGACTCTCTCGCCATCGCCTGGAGGATCTCGGCAGCTTTCCCTGGAAGCCCTGGTTCGTGTGGGTCGCCGCGAACCCCGTGCGCTACGAGAACCTTCACTCCTTCCCTGCAAAACTCAGTCCACATTCGTTCCCCTGGCTTTGGCCGTGTCTTCGGAGTTCTACTTCTAGCCTTCCCTGTCTTGTGTTTTCGGTCTCCTCGCCGCTACTGCTGTCAAACTGCTTCACGGTATTCCCATGCTTGTGAGCAGCAATTTATGAATACAAGGCGGGTTGATAGCCGACGGTTTCCGGTTGAGTTTGCTTGCTCCAGTGGGTGCCGTGTTCTTTCTGTGGCCACTTGTTGTTGTTTTGGCACCGGAGCCCTAACATCTTTCCCGTCTAGATGACCAAAACACCCAAAACCCCAAACCCCCCAAACCTCCAAGCCTTAAGCCCCAAACCTCCTTAGATCCTGAAACCTAAACATTGAACCTGTAACATGAGCAAGCTTTCTGCAGGAGAAAGGGGGCAGTGCACTAAAAAGAACATTGAACCCTAAACGGCGCTCCACATATCTAGTTTGCTAGACAAAGTCGCCGGGTGCATGGGGAGGCCTTGGAGGAAGCCGGTCAGGTCCTGAAGGTGGGGCCCTTAGCATGGGGGTCTGGGGTCGGGCTCAGGGTTTTGGGTTGAGGGTTCAGACGGTTCTTGACATCGGGTCTCAGCAGTTTTTAGCAGGGACCTAGTGGGGTCTTCTATTAGGTGGTTTATGGTCTTTCTTGTTGTGGATTTTCGTGGAATGTGCATGTTAGGTTCAGGGTTTTCGGGGTCAGGTCTCAAAATCAAAGGTTTAGGGAGTGCTGGTGCAAGTTTGGAACTTGGAACGTCTGATGGTGCTCACCAGTAGGGCCTCACAAAAGAATGGGTGCCTGCCCCGAGTCCAATGTCAGAACCAGATTCACAAACACTTGGGGTTTTAGGTTTAGGACGTTTAGGATTTAGGGTCCACACCACCTCTAGATTCACTGCCATTTCGGCAGATGTTGGCTTAGGTAAGCGAGACGGAGGCCACCCTTCTGACTTTGCGGCGGGGGCCCCGGGACCTGCCCTTCACAGGCAAAGAACTACAGTCTAAGGTTGAACCCATGGGCCCCTAACATGGGCCCCTAGGGGATTCTGGGGTCCCTTAAGGGTATATATAGGGTATACAGTAGGTATATTAGGGTCCCAGGGGTAAGGGCCCATACTAGGGGCCCATGGGTTCTACCTTAGATACAGTCAGTCCTCCAAACACTACTACAAGTACTACCGCCACTGCTGCCACGACTGCCACCGTCACTGCTACCGTTGCTGCTACTGCTGCTGCTGCTGCTACTACTTGGACTAACGCCTCTGCTTCCTACTCTAGTTCCTCCTGTGCTTTTCTGCCGCTGGTGCTGCAGCCATCCCTGCGGCCGGCCTGCGCCACTACTTACGATCGCGATGACCAAGACGAAAAAACGGTACCACTGCTGGTAGATGTAATGCAAACTCATGGTGTTTGGTTGTCCCAACAATTTCTGTGGGGCCTCTCGCACTGTACTATTCCTCGAATTCAACCTTGAAGTGCGTGTTTCAGATCCCGTTTCGGAGGCACTTGGAGGTTCATGGGTAGTTAGTTATAAGTAGGGTTATAGGTAGGGTAACTGTACTTATAACCCATAATAGGGGACTTATAACCCACTTCTAACTACCCATGAACCTCCAAGTAGCCCAGGCTTTCTGACGAGCAGCAGCTGCGATGGAAGTCCTTGCAGGAGGAGATGCCCGATCTTTTCCAGAAGAGGACTGGGGATTTCTACACGCCTCGAAGCCAGACCCTAAGCCTAAACCCTAAACCCTAAACCCTAAACCCTAAACCCTAAACTCTAAGCACTAAACCCCAAACCCTAAACCCTAAACCCCAAGCCCTCACAAAAAGGTGAACCCAACCCTCGCATTCCGAGGACCCCTCCGGCCACATAAGTTCTTTAAGGCGGGTTTTGTGCCACTGTGCTGCGAGGATGAGTTCGGACAACGAGGCGCGATCCCCGGCATGGTGTTTTAGATTTTAGAGCTCTTCAGTTCCTTGCAAAGGCAGTCTCAGAATCGTTTTGCATCTGTCAGAAGGCATATTCGTGTTGCGACATGGCACCGATTGCAACCTCAAACATATGTTTTCCGCAAGGCCAGATGGAGAAAGCATCTTGACTTGCATAGCATAGCCTTGCTGGAACGGCAGGGGTGCGGATTTGGGTGTTGTGTCTCTAGCACACTGCTCATTCTCCGGAGTCGTGTTGATGATGGCATTGATGATGCTGAGACGACTGTTAAAATATGCTCACTTGCTGGAACAGTTCCTATTCAGGGCAAAGCCAAAGCACGGCTTGCTAAGGCTCTTCAGTGCAGCTGCCCAGAAGTTTCGCCGTGGGCCCCTCATAGGGTCCTCTGCCGAGGAGTGCGAGCCAAGGGAGTTTAGACGTCAGGCTTCCTGGATCCCAATCACCCAGCTGCTCAAGCCTCGAATCCCGTTCGATTGCACTGCCCTTCTGGCAGTTTCCAAGTGGCGATCACAGGAGTCAGGACTGCCACTGGAGCAGACCTTTGCCGCAACCCTCTACGACTGCATCTTGGAACACCGTCAAAGCTGTGGCGATCAGGCGGAAGGGTAGTAGTGCTCCTGCTTCGTTTGTCGTGGTGGTGGTGCTTGTGGTGGTGATGGTGATGGGTGTGGTGGTTGCGGTGCCTATGCTTTCTGTTGTTGCAAACACGATGGTAAAGGGGCCTTTTGGTTGGTCTGGGTCGCTTCTTCTTGTCGCACCGGCGGCAGGCAGAGCTCACCATTGATGTCCTGGGATGCCGCCCAGCTCTGGAATTGGATGACCCTCTTTGCGCGTTGGCCGCCATCATCAAGGCGAGGCATGTCAAGCGAGGTAAATCCAGCAAGTGTAACAGTATCCACCGTCAGCACGATGTCCTTTGATACCACCACAACGGCGGCGACGACGACGACTACTACTAGTACTCCTACTGCTACCACTACTGCTACTGCT